TAAGAATTTGAAAATTAAAATATGTATATATGACAACACAGGGCTCAATGCTTTACTGATGTTTTATTTTCTATAGTACAGAACAGTATGTTTTAAACATTAAAGATTCAGCTTTTGGCAGAAAAATGGTTAAACTTTTCTTAGTTTCTGAGTTTTTTTTTTTTGTAGTAGGAAAAATCACTGTATTGGACTGTCAGAATAATATAATCTAGACATTATAGTTTTCCTCTGTCATCTCTTCCCCTTTCTTCTTCTTCAGTGAATAATTTGCCAGTAAAGCGTCAAGACTGCAGAAATTCAAGAAAAACAATTAGGATATGGCTTTAAAAGAAGTATCCTCTCCAGGGGCCTAACTATAAGTGATGAGTACACAGCAAAAACAATTAAACTCAACTCTGAGATCCATGCTCCTCCAACAAGTAACCCGTCCTCCAGAGATACCCTTCCGCCATATGTTTGTTATGCTAGTCCACTACTTTTCCGTCATTTAACCTGAAAGACTGAGGACATCTAGTGGCAGAAAAAAAGTATTGCAGGGGACAGCTCTGACTTATTCCATTTCTTGCCCATGCTAGAATTAAGCTTTAGGGGCCCACAGCCATTTTAACCCAAGACATTCTCACTGGAAATATGAAATCCTTTTGCATTCATAACAAAATTTTAGAGATTTCAAGCTGATATATTCATTCAGTTTATCCAAATGTCTTTGCCAAATCCTATTGCTACCTGCATAAATTGCTATGTAGGAAGACAGTGTGGGGCCCTCAATGCTGCTGGGCCCCATAGCAGTTTCTTGGTTTGCTATGGGTGTAGTTACACCCTTGTTCCTCTCTGGGAAAACACTCACACAAATCAAACTTAGTTTATTTATTCAATTGGTTCTGTTAGGATGGGTAAAACAAAAGGAGCAGGGTTTTTTTTTAAAGAGACCCTTGTCGCCAGACCATTTATTTTAATAAAAATCTTTCCACGAAATTATATCTACATTTAACAAATGTTTTTATTGATGTTATTTACCTAGCCTCCCTTTTGCAGACATCCAAAAGATTTAAGACTGATGCTGGGTGATGCCATCTTGGATATGACATCAGCAGACTGAGAGTTGTTACTCTAGTGACACTCTATAGTTTTTTTCCTTCACTCATAACATGGCAGCTAAATATAAGGTTATGTAATGGGGTGATGGGAAGAGCTGGGCCAGCACAGACAGTAATTAGACACTCCCAGACATGCCCTTACTAGGACAAAAAAATATAGGCCTGGGAATTTTGGACTGAGCATCCCCAAGCCCGGGGACTCTTTCCTTGGAGCCCAGTGGTGGAACGCCAGGGCCCGGGCGCAAGAGTGACCTTTGCGACCCTGGTAGTTCTGCCACTAGTGTCAGTAGGTTTTTATTTTTAGTTAGTTTTTTACAATTTTATTGTTTTTTTTTTACATGTTTTTTTTGGAGAGAAAGAAGAAAGAGAGAGAGAAGGAAAGTAAGAGAGAAAGGAAGTAAGGAGTGAAAGAGGGAAGGAAGGAAGGAAGGAAGGAAGGAAGGAAGGAAGGAAGGAAGGAAGGAAGGAAGGAAAGAAGGAAGGAGGGAAAGAAAGAGGGAAATAAGGAAGAAGGAGGGAAAAGAAGGAAGGAGGGAAAAGAAGGAAGGAGGGAAAGAAGGAAGGAGGGAAAAGAAGGAAGGAGGAAAGAAGAAAGGAGGGAAAGAAGAAAGGAGGGAAAGAAGAAAGGAGGGAAAGAAGAAAGGAGGGAAAAAAGGTATGAAAGAAGGAGGGAAACAGGAGAAAGAAAGAAAGAAAGGAAACAGGAGACAGAGAGAGAAAGAAACAGAGACGTACAGAAAGAAAGAAGAAGAGAGAGAAGACACAGGAGGAGAGGGTGGGAGGAGGATGGCCAGAACCAGCTTTCTCTCTCCTCTCCCATCTGTGGTGGTGGGGGAACTGTCAGCACTGGGGACAGTCTATCCTGACAGATTCCGTGCAGCAGCTGCGTGGGGCGGCAGGAAATGAGGGGGGAGCATACAAGAGCCAGGGCATGCAGGCAATGGATAGGAGGGGTGGCCAGGTGGCACATAGAGGAACCGAGAAATACACAGCCTGGTTCCTCTATGTGACGCCCAGCCGCCCTTCCTATCCAGGCGGCCTTACCCTACCAGTCAAATGCCCGGTGTGCCATATGGCCATTTCGTGCCTGCTCCCAGAAGAGGAAAGGCCTATGATGTGCAAGAAAGGAGAGGGCTGTGCTAGGAAATTGACACTTCCTTGAGTAATCACATTTTCTAGCAAGTTCAGAGGTGCATTACAAGTGAATAAAAATAATTTATTGAAAGGAAAAACGCTGCGCATGCGCAGAACTAAGACGAACCGGATGTATGGATGCTTAGGCATAGGCGCACGCACGCATGAGCACTCGCGCATCCAGGCACGGGCGTGCCACTAATGCTAGCGCCAATGGGCTATTTAAACTGGCTGCAGTAAATGTCTCATTGCCGTTTGGTCTACTTGTGTTTCCTGATTCCTGTGATTGACTCTTGATACCAAACCAGCTTGTTCATGACCTCCGCTTGACTGCTACCTGCCCTGACCTCTCGCTTGCCTTGGATTACTCTTCCGTCTCCTGGTCCTGTTTGATTGATCTTCCACTGCTGACTTGGCCTGTGACCTGACTATGCTTCCTCCTGACGTCTATGTCTGATCTGCCCTACTGCTACTGAACCTGGCTTGTCTGACCCTGCATCCTCAAACGCACTCCTCAGTGATCCATCCAGCACGACTGAATCCGGATCCTGCTCCCTGCCTCAGTCTGCCCTGCAACTCACCTGCCCACCAGCTACTACTGGACTGATCACAGGCACTCATACCCCACCATGCCTCATAGCCCACCGTCAGGCTCACTATCCAGGTACGTGACAGGTTTAGACACAGTATAGGTAATTTGGGTAAAGATTTATGTAAATCAAAAGAGGAACTTTAAATGTTCTGATCTCAGCGTTTGGAAGATATTTCAGTTACACAATATCTGTAATGAAGATGATAACAACACAGAAAAGACTTTTAGCTTTAGTAGGGAAATCTGGCTGAATTCACACGAAAGGTAATTTATGGAAACTGGAGAGGAAACAAGCTTGTATTTCTTGGCAGCCAATCAGTTTAATTCTCCCAACTGCACGGGGAAAAATGAAACCTAGAATCTAATTGGCTGCTGAAGGCAACACATCTACTCCAGTGCTATGTTAGAATTAGATGTGCTAATATGCAATCTACATTGTCTTCATCCCAAAAAGGTCTGATGGGGTTGCTGGATAGGGATAGTAACTAAAATAATTAAATAGATTCTAAAAGGGAAATTTCAGTGAAAAATCTTTTTTTAGAAGTAAAGCTTGAGAAACCATCCAATGGGGAGTCTTGTTCGGGTGACAGCTGCCTAAGAGGGAAATTCCGTCACTATGAAAAGTTTCCTCTTTTTATTGTGTCTATTAGATAGTAAGGAAAATCTCCCCAATTGGATACAGATGGCAAAAAACTGACATTGGGATTAATCATACCCAAGTCTATCCACACGGGAAAAAATGGATTTAGATATACTTGGAGCTGACCTCCAGCCTTCCATTCAGTCTTACACTGTTATACAGGCTCCTCTCCTGTACTGAAATTGCTTACTCTGATTTCACTGAAGACTGCTAGCTTCTCACAATGTGCACTAGAAGCTGCAGCAAGTCAGATATGGCCTGCCTCTGTTCCTGGCAGGAGGATGTCTAGCATCATCTAGTTCTTTCCTACAGCCTGACTGTTCCTGGCTCGCCCATTCCTTTCACTGGATTTCAGATCTTAAAATTATTAAGGATCAGTATCACTTTTATGCATTAGCCAGGATGAAGTGCTGTTTTCAGGAAGCTAGGTCATACCCTCCTATCAGCCACGATCTGGTGCATAGAGAAGCACAGAGAGCCAGTTAGCTCATCACTGGGTGTAATATAAAGGTTGGTAAAATAAGGATGTATTTTTACCACTACGTTGATAAACAGGGAAGGGCATAAAAACCAGGGAAAGCAAAATATAAGCAGGATAAACATCATCTTTACATGTAAGTTTTTTTTATTTCTGTTGAATTCTCCTGGCTGTCACCCATTATCTCCAGCCCATCAAAGACAAAAATAAATATTTTGATTGGAGTTGCACATTACAGTACCCATGAACTATTGATTTAGATTCACACTGATATTAGACTGGTATAATCAGGGTACTCATATAGGGAACGTCTCCTACATTCAAGATGGACAGTTATCTATTCTGATATTTAATGGCCGGAATTGGAGATGCATTCATATAATGGTCACATTATTACTTTGTGTATGCAGCCTTTTGCAGTCATCCTTTTATTATGGTAACATGTTAAGCACTGGACACATTTGTGTATGATAAATCAGAGGTAGACAATGTGATGGCAGTTTTCAGAAGAAAGTATTAACTGACTCAGTGGGGGAGATTTGCACAGAATATGGTGGAGATTTGTATAGTAAACCAATCACCTTCCAGCTGAACAAGCTGAAGTTTGAAGCCGATTGGTTACTATGCACAGGTGCATCAGTAATTCTCCCTAATATATCCACATAATGTCAGCTTTAGTCTACAGGGAAAACAGTATAGACTCAACAAATAGAACACGCCAGGATAAGGACACTTATTTTCAAAAAGAAGACAGTTATCATCAGCGGAGTCCAATGAGATTTGAAATTTCAAATCTCATTGGACTCATCTGCAGATAATTGTCACTTTGAATGCTAAAGTAAGAATTCTTATTTACTAAAATCATTGCACTTCCATGTTCTGTATACTGTGGGAGACCAGATATAGTGAATGCAGGGTCCTGGTTTTAGTAACACTTTAAGGCTGTCATATGATGATTTCTTTTTTTTATTTTTTCTTGGGACCAAGCTGTAGACAGTGGGTTGTCTACTGATTAGGAGTTGTGTGGTGTCTACAGTTTTTTTTATTTTATTTACCTTCTTAAACTTTCACTTTAGTAGCGGACTGCATTCCATCTGCAGAAATAAAAAACATTAAGTCATTCAATCATTGTTCAAGCTTTATCAGGATCCAGACACATCAATAAGAGCAACCAATTACAATTCAGGACAGACATGGCTGTATACCTGGATCTGCATAGAGTTCACCTGGGGCCTCTCAAAGTATATTTCCAGATTATGTATTAATTTGTCCAATAAAAAAAAAAACTCCCACTTGATGTATAATGCAGCTCTTTATACCGGACCCCCTGCAGAGTTTATATTTGTCCTGCAAGCTGAAGGGTGAGTGTTTCAAGCAGGACAGGACCTACTCTTCTTTTGTTATAGAAATGCCCGTAGCGGAAAAGAAAAGAAAATTAGCACAGGGCAGGCATGACTAGGCCTAGAGTGGGAAGGAAGAATAGAAAGGGTTAAGTATAGTGCCAGGGGGTTTGAAAAAGTATAGCTGGGGTGCTGGTTGGTAGAGGGAGAGCATGGGTGGGCTCTTCTGCACCTTAGGGTGGGGTGTCCTGGTGGGAGAAATGCCCGTAGCGGAAAAGAAAAGAAAATTAGCACAGGGCAGGCATGACTAGGCCTAGAGTGGAAGGAAGAATAGAAAGGGTTAAGTATAGTGCCAGGGGGTTTGAAAAAGTATAGCTGGGGTGCTGGTTGGTAGAGGGAGAGCATGGGTGGGCTCTTCTGCACCTTAGGGTGGGGTGTCCTGGTGGGAGAAATGCCCGTAGCGGAAAAGAAAAGAAAATTAGCACAGGGCAGGCATGACTAGGCCTAGAGTGGGAAGGAAGAATAGAAAGGGTTAAGTATAGTGCCAGGGGGGTTGAAAAAGTATAGCTGGGGTGCTCGATATTATCAACGTCCTACAATAGTGAGGAAATCAGCATGTGCACAGCCAAAATGTGTGAAGTCCTTAGTGCACACAATAGAACACTGCAAACTAATCCACACATAAAAATCCAGTGATCCGTGTCACATTCCTCTTAGGCATGCAAAATAGGGGAATGTGTATGAACCCACAAACCCTCGAATGTGATCCTAGAATGGCTAGAGTGGCCTCTCACCTCCAGCCTGCGACCCTACAGGGCCACAGCGCTTAATGTAGACTCACACCCACAAGACTGGGGTAGGCTCCTCTTAATGCTGGATCATAAAGATGTCTCTGCAGCTTCCACCTCTCCTCTGATGTCCTTGCGGGCCAGTAAGCCGGATGTGTCCCAGCTCAGATCCCCATAAGATATAAAGACATATCCTCCATAGTGTAAAACTGTTTATTAAAAGTCATAAAAACGAAGAAAAACACACTCACATGGGCCAAAAGACAAATCGCGTTTTCCCCATATGCTGGGTGTAAGCATAGACCTCAGAAGGTGTTCCAAAATGGCGCCACGCCGGAAGTGCGTCACCACGTCAAGCCGTCGACGCGTTGCGTCACGTGACCTCGTGACTTCATCAGGACTCCGTGTGAATATATTGTATATATGTTCTAGCGCTACATCATTTTTACATGTATATGATTATTGTCTGCCTGGTATAAGATTGGATGTTAGCAGCTGCAGAATACTTTGTGCATACCAGTTAGTATTTGCGTGTACCTGCATAAGAGCGCAAAAGGATTTCTCTTATTATAGCTGGGGTGCTGGTTGGTAGAGGGAGAGCATGGGTGGGCTCTTCTGCACCTTAGGGTGGGGTGTCCTGGTGGGAGAAATGCCCGTAGCGGAAAAGAAAAGAAAATTAGCGCAGGGCAGGCATGACTAGGCCTAGAGTGGGAAGGAAGAATAGAAAGGGTTAAGTATAGTGCCAGGGGTTTGAAAAAGTATAGCTGGGGTGCTGGTTGGTAGAGGGAGCGCATGGGTGGGCTCTTCTGCACCTTAGGGTGGGGTGTCCTGGTGGGGGGGCGTCAGTTGGAGCTGGACGTTGGTGAAAGAGCTTCCCTCCTGCCCTCCCTATTTAGTGAGTATTGTGTTCCTCTCGGGGGGGAAAGGGGGGTTATTTTGGTCATGGGCGGTTGTTTGTCTTTGGAGGCGGTTCTTATCTTGCAGGTACAGATAATGGTGTGGGAACCATGGGTGGTATGGTGTGCCCGGGGACATTCCAGTTAACCAAGGTTTAACTGGAAGGTGGTGGTGCTGCACTGCGGACGGTATGGTTGTCTCCGAGCTGGTTGGCTGCGGCTGGAGGCCTTGTGTAATATGGTTGTCCGCAGGTGCATTTCAGATCATTTTTGGGGGGTGCCTTCGAAGACCAACAACAACTCTGTATGTTTCTGTTATAAGGAATGGTTGGTGTGTTAAATTGTTTGTTAATAAAAGGCCGTGTTGGCCATTTTACTCCAAAATTGGTGTCATGTTTTCTTTTAAGTATATTTAAAAGGGGGGGGGGGATCTGGATGACCTATCTCTGGTGCACTAGTCATGAGCGTTTACCATCAGATTAATGTCATTGATTATTCTGTTACTGCTCTCACATAGACAACACATGAACAGATCTGTGTTTGTGATTTTTTTGAAAGATAGCTGTACTTTGAAAAAATGCATGGTTCCAATGTCTGCCTGTCCTTCCTCTCTGTTTGGCCTTCCTGCCCGTCTGGCCTTCCTGCCTATCTATCTATCTATCTATCTATCTATCTATCTATCTATCTATCTATCTATCTATCTATCGTATCTTTCTTAAAGCATACTTCCAACTGCCTAACACATCCGCAAATACCGTGAACAGTCTTGCAAGGGATGAGCAGTGCGCTCCAGCAAAAGATGCTGGTGTGAGGTCTCTGTCAAGCATAATAGGGAATGTGGGTATGCAGCAGGTCTGTAGCAGATTTATAGTGAATAATCAATGAGCCACATTGGAAGTGAGCATCAATTTATACATAGTGTAGACAATCTGGCAGATAAATTATGAAACATCAGCATGAAAGGGGGGAATGATAATGGAATCTATTCAGTACAGCAAATGAACTGATCAGTAAGAACACGTGAAAGCCCTCAGGTAACCTAGAAGCCTTCAAGAAAGATAGGTCAGAAGATGATAGAGGCAGGCCAGTGAACAATCCAGCATCATGATGTGCCTGGCTTAAAGTGGTATTTTCCACGATGGAGTGCTCTTCTAAGGTAGATGAAAACATGAAAAACAGAATCCGGAAGGGTCTAGCACCTTCATCTTTTCATTATCCAGAGTTTAAAGGGGGAATTGAATACATCTATAGACAAGGATATAAAAAAAAGAGATACTAACAGAAAACACAGCAATGATTAAAAGCATGCACTTACTATCTTGCACCTCCAATCTGATTTCCTTAATCTTGTCATTAAAGAGACCTGGGGTCTCCACTCTACAGCAGTAGGTCCCTTCATCTTCCTTAGAGACACCAATGATAGAGAGTGACACGTCTCCATGCTGCAGGTTTTCCATCATACGGTATCTACCAGACTCTCTCCAGGTTATCTCTTCACCGTCAGTCCACACAAGGGCATCTGTACATCTATACCTGGGGCAGTTGCCTTTTCCCCAGCACATCTTGGTGGTACCTTCACTGACATTGTATGAACAGGGTAACTTCACTGTAGCACCAGCTAATCCCTTCACATGATCCGCTGTGAATATTGAAAAAAAAATGTCATATTACAATTAACAGAACAATAAATTTAAAAAAAAAAACAAGAAAGGTGAATCACTCATCATCTTCAGTTATCTGTTGATGACTTTGGGGGTGCAATCTCTTCACCTTAGTTCCCAACTGCAACCAAATATCAAAGCTATTATCTTGCTGGATTTTTAAAAATCAATTTTACATGATAATAGAGGGTGAGAATAAACAAGCTGGTAACTAGAATGGGAAGAGATAATTTTGCCAAATCACTTAGACCCTTAAAAAAGTTGTTCAGGGTTTCATCTCATCAGGATCTGTAGTGAGCTGTCACAGTTCTAACAAAAGCCATAGCTGCATCTAAACTGTATAAGAGTATTTTTAATCAGGGATGGATAGATTGCAGAAAGGTCAGAAGCTGCTGCCGGTGTCCCCAGGGGGGGGAACTACCCTCACTTCCTGTGCATTAACCAGTAAAAGATTAGAGAGATTATAATCTCTCTAATGGGAACACAGGCAACTTTAAGACTTGCTCAGAATGATGGATTGTGTTAAATATGCATTATTTTGCATTTTACGTGCGTTGTGTTAAGGAGCCAATTCATTCTGAATGAGCTGCAATGCATCAAACATGTTGCATGCCACACTTTTCTTAATGCGATTCACTACACATGTTGCTGTTCATTTGCAGTAACGCATGGTAAAACATGCTTTTTACAGTGAGCTAAAGGAGAAGTATAGCCAAAGTTCATTCTGTACTCCTGTGACCCATTTTCAGCCAACAGGAGGCTAAAGTCCACTGCTGGCTGAAATCACAGAACCAGTCCAGGCTCTGAAAAGATCCCTTGACCAACATCTGGCTCAGCCTCTCAGTGATCCTTCGAGAGCCTGAGCCAGCCGCTCCCTCCCCTCCACAGCCCCTCAGAGTGGAGGGCTAGAACTGAGCGATCGACAGTATTTGAACGCACAGCTCTCAGTGCAGAACCAGCGGGAAGGGGTGGGGGGATTATACTCACCTAGGTGGATGCACCATTGATGCTGCATCCACCTAGGTGAGTATAATGTTTTTTTTTTTAAAGCCCATATTCCTCTTTTAACAAAACACACCAGTGTGAACAGGCCCTTAAACACCTGTAACTGTTAATTTGCAATATGTTACATATTTATTCTTGGGTGTAGATACCAGGGGCTGGACTGACCATTTGGAAACTTGGGCACTGCCCGAGGGCCCGGGGTCAGTAGGGGGCCCCATGAGATGCCGCTGGTACCTTTTTCATAGGCTTTTTTGAGTTTGGGCAAGGACACAGGGGCCCCATGATCCCCTATTGCCCGGGGGCCCATAAGTTGTCAGCCCGCCCCTGGTAGATACCCAATAGAAAGCCTTATATTTCTTTTCAATGAATACAAATCATTCTCTGACTGGATGAGGTGGAGAGAGGGGCAGGAATGTCACAATCTCCACTTCATCAAATCAGAGAACGTTTTGTAGCCCCTGATTACTAAATAAAAGGCATTCTATGAATGGCAGCAATGCTGAGAGAACGACCCTGTATGGTCAATGTGGAAAGGAAAAGCCGCTCCCCAAAACCCAAGCAGGATCCAGAAGGTCATGGCTATCACTGTATTAGTGCCGCCAACTACTATGGTGATTCTGAGCTTTCCTCACAGCCATCAGGTATAAGATATACAAACTTACATTTTGCAAAGCTGGAACAATGTAAGTATGCAATACAGATAATTTCTGCAGTTAAACATTAAAGAATAGGTTCACCTTTTAAACATGTTACACCCATATTTAAGGTGTAACATGCTAACATCGACCTCCCTTTCCTCCCAACCCCCTCCTTCTCTGTGGCAGTGTTGTCACATTTTAAAATTGGCGCACTGTGCGGGACTCTGCCCTCACAGCCGTGTCATTCATTCACAGGAATCTGTGATTGAAGAAACTACAAGTCTTGCCTGCCACTGCGGCAGATGGTTTGCAGTTTTCAGTGGACTTGCAAGGGTGCTGATGAGTGCCTTCGTAGCCCATTGACACTTCCTCCATCTTTCAAACAGGAAGCCCCCAAAGAGGTACAGGCAAGAAAGTTAGAGAATGTGGCTGCAAGAGCCTGACATTGCACCTGCAATACACAGATTACAGGTACAATGCACTACAGGTTTCTGGGAACAAAATACTAAATGCACATTTTTTCCTGCAAAAAAAGAAAAAAAAATCCCAGATGAAGGGGGTGATACTGGGCCCCCAGAATGCATTGGCTGCTGTAACCAATTAATATTTGGAAAAAAAACTTCACTTTGGACTCAAATTTTGGGTGGGTTGATTTAATCTCCAGGCCAAAGTTTTGAGTGATCATATTCAGCCCCTGGTTTTCGGAAGCTGCCAACCTATCAAAAAGAGGCACTACAGATACTACATCAGCATAATAAGAGTAATCTGAATACAAAGCCATCACCTACTACCAGCTCCAGATTCCAGTGCCATTTACCTACCCTTCAGAGCACATCAGTGATGACTGAGTTGTAGTTTAAAAGTCTACCAACAGGCCTAGAGTATTTAGTCCCATTGTTCTTACTAGATAATATAGGGTGTAATCTGTTAACATCAACCTGCATGGTTTTATACAACCGTTGACTTAGAGTTTTTGAATTTTTAGGCTGTTGAAAAAAAATATATAGCTGTTTGCTGTGTAGCTAAATTCTTTCTACACTGCCCAAGAATACAGGTCCCTTTTAGTAACACAATCCAATTTAATTATACTCTACCCTCCTACATCAATCCTTCTGGGACTCCTCCTGATACCACAAACATCTGACTACTGCTCAACTTCCCCCTTCCCTTCCACTGCAGGATTTCCCAGAATTCCCAACTTTTCTTCTCTCAATCCCCTCTTCCCGTCCCCCTCCTTTTTTTCCTTTCTCCCCCTCCACTTGGCCCCACTATAAGCCCTTATTTCTGTTATTCTCTGGTGTCGATATAGTCTCTCAATTTAAAAATCTTTAGAGTTCACAGAGACCAACAACTACATCCTAACAAATTTACATATTGGATGCATTGTAATAAAACATCCACTTAATTCCCATTATTGACCAAGCCACCTCTTGCACTCATTGTGATGCTTTCTATATAGGATACTTCTGATGTACTACTACAAATGACTATGTATTTGCCTTTGTCTGTAATTTGCAAAATGTTGTTCTTTAATTTCCCTTACATTCCTTATACTAAATACTATAATTAAAAAAAAAGAAATTCTACAGACAACAAACAGCAAATGGGATTCTTGCTCTCTTTTCGTTATGTATTTTCTTCTCCTTGAACTCAATTTAGTAGATGGCACATTCAAAAAAAAAAGTGGGGAAGGAGTATAACCCCTGACAAATTTTACTTCTATCTGGGCTCCATCAGTGCGACATCCACTTATTCTATTATTAGAATTTTCTATTCTTTTTATTCTATTTTATTATTCTCTTTCTATTTCTGTCTATGCCCCTGCTGCAGATTGTCCTTTACTTCCTGGCAAAACTGTTGGCACTGGAACAGTAACTAAGCTAAAATCTCTCTAACAGAGCCAAAGATAGCAGTAAAAAGCTTATCAAGAATTTATTTTGGCTTGACATGCCCTTTAAAACATCTCTGCTGCTCCTGATCTAAACCTGCAAAGAAGAATGCTCCTGTCAGGGCCTGGACTGAGCGAAGCTAAAAGGGAGGGCCAGCATGACTGGGGCTTGCAGACGAGGCGAAGACTGGATTTGGGTGGGAGTATAAGAGATGGGGGATGGTAACTCACCTGTTTGGAGCAATCGGCCTGGAGGGTGGTCTTGCTAGGATGAGGAGAGGGGTTGGAATTTGTTGGGGGTTAGTTGGAGCTTGTGCCAGCATGGGTGAGGCGGTGTGGCAGCGGCTGAGGGCCTTTTCGTTGGGCGTCAGATACAGCTATTTTTTTTTTTTTTTTTTGGAACGCTTCACGAATTTGCGTGTCATCCTTGCGCAGGGGCCATGCTAATCTTCTCTGTATCGTTCCAATTTTAGTATATGTGCTGCCGAAGCAAGCACACAACCAAGTTATTAATGTGAGTAACAGTGCCTTTGAAGACCTTGGACCCGGTTGGGGATTGTTAATGTCAGTTATTATTATTTAATTGTACCAGAAGAAGTGTTATGTTATGTAAGAGTTATGTTAAATAAATGGGCTGCTATGGCCAGTTTTTTCACCAAAAAGGAGAGTCGCGTGGTTATTCAGGTGGGGGGAGGTTGAAGGGGGGTGGTTGTTTTTTTTTGGTGTAGGTGGTAAGTACTAGCCTCAATATTCTGCATGTCCCTCAGTCATGATCTAAACCTGCAAAGAAGACACTGAATACTATCCTCTCCTGCTGCCCACACCACTGACCACTTTGGTAGTTGATCCTGCACATTCTGGTACTTCATTCCTGGATCCCTAATCCTGCTTAGTGGTTTGTTCCATGTGTTTCCACATCACTACAAGATACTGTACATATGGAGGGGGCAATCATATAGTGGTGGTCAACTTACTTGACATAGTGCAGCTGCTGACATCACCAAAGGGCCATGCATAGTGTGCAGTATATGTAATGCTACAAAAAATGGTCAGGCTGGATATACTACAGTGGCAGGCATATTACAGACGATTGTCAAAGTCTGGGGACATGCTACAGAAATGGATGGAGACTAGGGACATGCTGTAAGAGACTGTCGAAGATTGATGACATGTTACAAGAGACTGCTGAAGATCAAGGCTTTCTGAATCCAGGTCTGGTGCTAGACTATTTTGCATCCTAGCCAAGACTAGCTACTTACACAGCCCCCCACCCCACACCAAAAAAAACAAAAAACAAAAAAAACCTCTTTCAATACAGTTCAATCACTCCCCCATCAGGTCACATACTCCTTTCACATATACCCTTATTATCCTCTCCATATCCTTCAAACAGGGACTTCGCCCTCTTCCACATCTTTCAAGTGCCAATTTCGCTTCTCAATGCTGCCTCAGCTAGCATAGCCGACAATCAGACATCCATTTGTCTGGCCACCATCCTCTTCCCATCCACCAGCCAGCAAGATTTCCTCTCCACTGCCCAGTGTCCTACCGCCAGCATCACTCCTGCTCCTACAGCCAGCATTGTTGCATCGTCTCCGCTCCTGCAGCACTGTTTTAGTGCTCCTTCTCACCCCCACCAGTAGTACTCCCGCTCTCACAGCCAGCATCACTCCCACTCCTGTCAAAAAACAGCGCTGTTATCTATCCCTGCAACCGCAGCTGGTCAGCCGGACCTCACATCCTTCTCCCACCAGCTTTCACAAACAGCCCTTTCATCCAGCCTTGCTACTGCAGCCAGCCTTGCTTATCACATTCCTCTCCCATAAGCTGTCATTTCTGTAACAAACAGCCCTGTCTTCAATCCATGCCACTACAGCTGGCTGGCTTGTTACATCCTTCTTCTGTGGGCTTGTCACTTTTTCCAAATGTTTCCCCACCTCCTCCCAGTGGCTGTGGTTGCACCCTAGGTGGCAGTGTGCCCTAGACAGTTGCCTAGTTTGCCTAGTGGTAGCTCCGGCCCTGTCTGAATCTCATATAAAATTTAATGGCAATATATTTGATATTCCTCTCAGCAGGATCCTATGTCAACACTGCTGACCTCTGCAGTAGTTAATCCTGCAAAATTTGACACTACAGGGAGTGTCAGGTGCCTAGTACCCTATGGTGCTCAATGGTTTGATCTACCCACTTCCACATCTCTATAAGACACAATAGTGATGTAGGGGCTGGCAGATCAAACCACTGAGATGGAGAGAAGGGAAGAACCACAGCACCCACTGAGGGATCATGAAACCGGGACTCCCAGAAGTGTCAGATTCTTCAGGATCCTCAGCCAGCACTTTCCTTTCAATGGCATTACTGCAGAGGTGTCTTCTTTGCAAGGATCCTTTTATTGTGCAGTTTTACTTTAGTGACTGAGTTGTGTTAAGGCCACCAAAATAGGTTCCTGTTTCTGGCATGAATACTGCATCTTTCTTCTTTCTATTTCTATTACTGACATTCTATTGACACCGAGAACTAAAATCACAACCGAAAACCATGTACTGTATTCAACCTGACGCCACCCCTTTAAATCAACAGTTTGAACACTAAAAGAATACTTTACTGTTGTGTATCTCTAGGCGGACTTCCTTCTTTATATCATTGAACGCTCCTGGGACTCTCACTCTGCAGCAGTACACTCCACCATCATTCTCATTGACGCCATTGATAGTCAGTGATACGTTCCCCTTCATTATGTTTTCTTTTAGTTGGTATCTTTCTCCATCCCTCCAGGTTACTTCATCACCATTTGTTTTAAGAACGTCATTGCGGCAGGAAAGTATTCCACAATGTCCTCGTCCCCAGCACACCGAACGTGTACCGGCATCAGTGGCGTAAGAGCAGGGCAGCGTCAGTTTATCACCTAGAGATCCCCTTACCAGATTCACTGTGAATGTAAAGGAAAAGTATGCAGTTAGAGAAGGCGCTCCAATCAAATTCAAACATCGTAGCAAGACTTAGTCCTCATGCACACTGGACTTTTTTTCAGCTGATGTTTTTGGCTTTTGACATTCTATTTTACAGCCAGTAAACCCCCCAGCATGTTATCCTATGTGTCCATGCACACATAGACTGTAATCAACATTATTTGGCAAGGGCCTTTTTTGGCTGGAAAAAAATCCAGGAGGGTTTTCTAGAGGAGTTTTTTTTTAGCTGTAACACGGCAAGACGTGGTAAATCACAGCAACCCGGCGTTTTTGGATGTGTTTTTGACCCAAAAAATGTTTTTTTTTTTAGTAAAAAAAAAAAAAGTTAAAAAAGCAAACGCGGCAATACGCCGCTAAACACTAATGCAAAAATGCTGAAAAACTCATGTTTTTGACGTGACTGTACACAGCTAACGTTACCAGCGTTATTAAAACCGCCCAGTGTGCATGGAGCCTTACAAGGGATGTGACCTACCTGCCCAGGGCTTGTGTTATTTTTCTTGGGCACACTAGGCTGTTATGGGGACTAGTAACCAACCATTCTGGAAACATTAGTCCCCAGGCTGTCCTTCATGTATTCTTACATTTACTCAATATTGAATCATTTGGGGACTAATTTGTCGACGTGTTTTACACAAATACTGATAGCTATGTGTAGGCAGTCTGGTAGATTCAAAGCCTCAAATGGCAACCAAAAAAATTAAAGTATGAACCTCACTGGTTGCTGGGTGTAAAAGCACAGTTTTTCTTTAAATGGAGACACATTATTAAAAATGGGCTACTGTAATTTGCTCCAAGACAATCCCATGATCGTCTGGGTGCTGGACATTAGGATAACTATTTCTAAGGGTACCTTTTGGATTAATTTTGCCAAACCAAGGACAAACCCTCTATTGACCATATAGTGGTGGCCTACTTCCTTGATATAAAGAGCATCAAGTGCAGCCCCTGACATCATTAAAAAGCTTCACATAATGTACTGTAAATGTAATGCTGCAGTCAGGGGCGGACTGACAACTCATGGGGCCCCCAGGGCAATAGGGGATCATGGGGCCCCTGTGTCTTTGCCCCAACTCAAAAAAGCCTATGAAAAAGGTACCAGGGGCATCTCATGGGGCCCCCTACTGACCCCGGGCCCTCGGGCAGTGCCGAGTTTCCAAATGGTCAGTCCGCCCCGCTGCAGTGGAAGGGCAGAGACAGCAGGCATGCTACAGGAGGTTGCCAAAGACTGGGAACATGGTACAGGTATGGATAGAGACTAGGGACATTCTGTAGGTGACTATCAAAGACTGATGACATGTTACAAGAGACTGCTAGAGATCAATGCTATTAGTCAGTGCTCCCTGAAATCCCCTTAAAAATTTACTGGCAGCATATTTTATATTCCTGTCAGCAAGATCAATAAATTATGTCAATAAGTGTGAAATAAATAAGCCAAACCATTTAGCTATTAGAACACAAGTTATGTAAAGTGTTACTAAACCCACAACAATAAAATCAGTCTGTTTATGCAGTAAAGTATGCTTTTATACTCACTGTGGAACTTAAGGGGTTAATCCTCTACATTGTGTAAAAAGGATGTTTGATCCTGTCTTCTCTGATCCTCCCCCTCTTCTACTATCCACAATCCATCTGCTGATAGTACAGCGTTCTAGGAGTCACTCTGCACATACTCAGTTTACTGTGTATTGGTAGAGAGTTTTTTCTTCTTTGGGAGGGTGCATGTGATCAGCACAGGGCCAACCAGCACTGTCCAGACAGAGGGTCAGGGGTCATGTAGCTTCATAGGACAGTCAGAGGAGAATGAAAACTCCTCCTACAAGCTTTAACCAATGCTCAGCTTAACAGTGGTAAAAGTCACAAGACTGCTATATACTGATGATGACAGAAACTATTTAGCAGTTTATAGTTTTTAAAATAATTGCATATCCATGTTGTGTGTACTGTGGGAGACCAGATATAGCGAATGCAGAGTCCTGGGTTTAGTAACATTTTAAATTTCCTTCACTGTGTTTCTGTAAGCACCTAAGCCAGTCTACATCTTGGTGGGGACCAAGGGCCACATACAGGCAGTCCCCAAGTTACAAACATCCAATTTACATATGACTTGTACTGAAGAACGGAGGCAGTGTGAGGTCATGCTGGTCCCTGAAACCATAGGGCAGCCTCTTGCTCTAGCCATCTTGCTTGCTCAACACATGTTGCCACCTATCGTTCGGCTAACCCGTCAGCGATTCCACATCACTACATGGCCACTTAACCCTTCCTTATGCTATCCAAGAAGAAGCACATTAAGGTCTTGGAGTGGCCTAGCCAATCTCCGGACCCTAATCTGATTGAAAATCTGTGGAGGCAGCTGAAAGTTGGAGTTTCCAAACGTCAGCCACCAAACCTTAATGACTTGAGAGGATCTGCCAAGAGGAGTGGGCCAAAATCCCTCCTGAGATGTGTGCAAACCTGGTGGCCAACTACAGGAAATGTCTGACCTCTGTGATTGCCAACAAGGGATTTGCCTCCAAGTACTAAGTCATGTTTTGTGATGGGGATTAAATACTTATTTCCCTCATGAACATGCAAATAAGTGCATAATTTGTTAGACATGCATTTCTTTTGAATTTTTTTTTGTTGCTATTCTGTCTCTCAGTGTTACAATACACCTACCATTCGATTTTTAGACTGATCATTTCTTTGTGAGTGAGCAAACATTCAAAATCAGCAGGGGATCAAATACTTACCGTATTTCCTTCACTGTAAGTATACACTTTTAGCTTTTCCTTGGACCTGACTTACTGAGACTAGACAGCCAGAACGATCTTTAACACAAAGTAGCCAATACTATTTTGAGAGTGCATTTTCAGCTTGTTGCCTTGCAGGAATTTAGCTGAAGTTTTTTATTAATAATAATTTTTCTCTTTTTACATTTCATATGTATTTTTATTATTTCTGAAAGCTGATTTCCAGGCTTTTGTCCAGCATCACAGTGAATGCAGGTATATATTTGTTACAGAGATGGAGGTAGATTGGTCCCATAGACCTTTATGGGGCTCTACTCTGCAGGCATGGCCAGAAAATGGGGTTTTTGGTGCAGGATGTAAACAATCCCTGGAGGCTGAAGATCCTCCTTTATCAAACCAGAGAAATCTCAGGGCACCAGGCTGGCTTTGGTTTGTGGTAAAGTTGAATAAATCTTAGGACTGGATTGCCAGAAATACAATTCTTTTGGAATGTATTATAGGTCCCTTATATGAATTTCAGTTGTGTATTCTATGAGTTCAGCTTTAACAACTTATATTGTTTTTATATAACTATTATTTACATGTTGATTAGGTTGTCTGTGCTGTGGATATAAATGTCCACCAATGACTATTAAGCTCCTTAAAGTGTTTCGAAAACCAGGACCCTGCATTCACTGTATCTGGTCTCCCACAGTACACAGAAAATGGAAGTGCAATTATTTTAGTAAATATCTCATTGGCAGTTAGAGCAGTCTTGTGTCTTCTATAAGTGTTCATCAGAGCACTGGTTAAAGCTTGTAAGAGGAGTTTTCATTTTGCTCTAGGAGGATGCAAAACCCCTGACCTCTGTCTGGACAGTGCTGATTGGCCCTGTGCTTATCACATGCACTCTCCTAAGAAAAAAAAATAAATAAACCTCTCTAGAAATACACACTAAACTGAGCATGTGCATGTGGCTACGGGTTTAGTCTGTCTTATCAGGAAATAAGACGTGGACATTTGAACAAGAGGAGGGGCAGAGAAAACAGGACCTAATGGCCTTTTTACACAACGCAGAGGATTAACCCCTTAGGCTTCACAGTGAGTATAACAAGCATGCTTTACTGCATATACAGACTGATTTTACAATAAATGCAGATATGTAGTGAGCGCTGATATGAAAAATCACAGCTGCTAGCACAAGAGACAGTGATGACAAATCTTACAATAGAATATACAGTGCATCCAGAAAGTATTTACAGCGCTTTACTTTTGCCACATTTTGTTATGTTACAGCCTTATTCCAAAATGAATTAAATTCATTCTTTTCCTCAACGTTCTACAAACAATACCCCATAATGACAACATGAAAGAAGTTTGTTTTTAAATCTTTCCATTTTATTAAAAATAAAAAAATGAAAAAAACCACATGTACATAAGTATTCACAGCCTTTGCCATAACACTAAAAATTGAGCTGTGGTGCATCCTGTTCCCACTGATCATCCTTCAGATGTTTCAACAACTTGATTGGAGTCCACCTGTGGGAAATTCAGTTAATTAGACATGATTTGGAAAGGCATAAATCTGTCTATATAAGGTCCCACAGTTAAGAGTGCATGTGAGAGCACAAACCAATCCATGAAGTCCACGGAATTGTCTGTAGACCTCCGAGACAGGACTGTATCAAGGCATGGATCTGGGGAAGGGTACATAAAAATTTCTGGAGCATTGAAGGTCCCAATGAGCACAGTGGCCTCTTTCATCCATAAATGGAAGAAGCTTGGAACCACGAGGAATCTTCCTAGAGTGAGCCGCCCGGCCAAAATGAGCGATCGAGGGAGAAGGGACTTACCCAGTAAGAGGTAACCAAGCACCTGATGGTCACTCTGAAAGAACTCCAGTGTTTCTCTGTGGAGAGAGGAGAGCCTTCCAGAAGAACAACCATCTCTGCAGCACTCCACCAATCAGCCCTGTATGATAGAGTGGCCAGACGGAAGCCACTCCTCAGTAAAAGGCAAATGGAAGCCTGCCTGGAGTTTGCCAAAAGGCACCTGAGGGACTCTCAGACCATGAGAAACAAAACTCTCTGGTCTGATGAAACAAAGATTGAACTCTTTGGCCTGGATGCCAAATGTCATGTCTCAAGGAAACCAGGCACTGGTCACCACCTGGCCAAAACCATCCCTACAGTGAAGAATGGTGGTGGCAGCATCATGCTGTGGGGATGTTTTTCAGCGGCAGGAACTGGGAGACTAGTCAGGATCGAAGGAAAGATGAATGCAGCAATGTACAGAGACATTCTTGATGAAAACCTGTTCCAGAGTGCTCTGGACCTTAGACTGGAGCGATGGTTCATCTTTCGACAGGACAACAACCCTAAGCACATAGCCCACATAACAAAGGAGTGGCTATGGGAGTGGCCCAGCCAGTGCCCAGACTTGAACCCGATTGACCATCTCTGGAGAGATCTGAAAATGGCTGTGCACCGACGCTCCCCATCCAACCTGATGGAGCTTGAGAGGTACTGCAAAGAAGAATGGGGGAAATTGCCCAAAAATAGGTGTGCCAAGCTGGTAGCATCATACTCAAAATGACTTGAGGCTGTAATTGGTGCTAAAGGTGCTTCAACAAAGTATTGAGCAAAGGCTGTGAATACTTATGTACATGTGTTATTTTTTGTTTTTTATTTTTAATAATAAATTGCAAAGATTTCAAAACAAACTTCTTTCACATTAACTGTGGGACCTTATATAGACAGATTTATGCCTTTCCAAATCATGTCCAATTAACTGAATTTCCCACAGGTGGACTCCAATCAAGTTGTTGAAACATCTGAAGGATGATCAGTGGGAACAGAATGCACCAAATTTTTAGTGTTATGGCAAAGGCTGTGAATACTTATGTACATGTGGTTTTTTTCATTTTTTTTTTTTTTAATAAAATGGAAAGATTTAAAAACAAACGTCTTTCACATTGTCATTATGGGGTATTGTTTGTAGAACGTTGAGGAAAAAATGAATTTAATCCATTTTGGAATAAGGCTGTAACATAACAAAATGTGTCAAAAAGTTAAGCGCTGTGAATACTTTCTAGATGTACTGTACATATAAAGTGCTGAATATTAAATAATTGAAGGTAAAATATATCACCAGTTCAAATTGGATAATGTAAATTTCTCAAACATATATGCAAAAAATAGTCAATATATAACTAAGTGGTGTGATGAACAAATATAAATTCATCCAAAAAAATATCAAAGTGACAAAAAAAAGTAAATGTGGGTAAACCCACCTATGTGGGTTAGGGTAGAGCCTACGTGCTGACGTCACGCTGCCACATTCATGACCAGGAGCGGCAGCCATCTTGGTATGTGTGTTTACACATGTTTTTCCCAGTCTTCTACGTGGATTGTTTTTTAATCTATTTTAAATAAAGTACTACACTATATATTGATTTCTGGGCTCCTGTGGTGAGCTTTCTTCCTTAGGAGAATTCCTTTTGGTCAAAGATTCCGAGTCTCTATTTGAGGGATCAGTATCATTGCTACTATACCAATAGCTTTGTGGTGCGTGCATAGCAGTGGTGGACTGTTTCATTGGATTTCACAGCACCTGCTTAGAATTGAACACAATACTGCTGTGTCTTGTAGTGCCACGGACACATTGCTTGTTTACCCACATTGACCTTTTTTTTTTGTCACTTTGATATTTTTTTAGACTGATTTTACTGTTGTGGGTTTAGTAACACTTTAGTAGTATAACTTCAATTTGGTGACCTGGTCAGTTTTTGCTAGTAATAAGTATTAACATAAATACCATCTTCAACTTCCAGCTGAACATCTTTCTTCAGGTCATTGAATGGCCCTGGGATCTCCACCCGGCAGCAGTATGTCCCTTCATCTTCCTTGAACACGCCATTTATTGTCAGTGAGACATCCCCCCCAATTATACTTTCCCGTAACTCATATCTGTCTGATTCACTGAAGGTCACTTTGTCTCCATCAGTACTGAGGATCTTATTGGGGCATCCTGTGAGTCCACAGTTGCCTCGCCCCCAACACATGGGACTCTTGCCTTCCTTAGTGGAGTACTTGCAGGGTAAGCTCAATATACTATCCACTGGTCCTCGCACAAGATTATCTTTTGAAGCTGTAAATAGAACAGAAGATGTTGTAAAACATATGCTGTCAGAACATTAGTCACATTAATGCAAACAATATCATCTTTGAACGAGCCTAGATGGGTAACTTTTATGGCAGATCTCACCCTTTAACTTTAGTTGGCAGTTTGCTCTGGTTGGGATGGCAAACCCAAACAAACCTTGAATACAATATAGCATAGAAGTATCGCTGCACACCGTATTCAACTCCGGTGTGAAGTAAATGAAAGATAGGCTTCAACTCAAATCCCTGCCTGTCAGGAATGGACTGGCCAGCAATAGTGGGACTCACCTGCCTTATGAGCTGCAGTACCAGGGCTGGCCAGCGGGTGCTCCCAGCAATCAGAGACTCAAACCTTGCAGCCAGTTAAACACTGGAACTAATTATACTGGTGTATTTAAGGGATGGCCAGACCTGCAGACTCTGCCTTGGTGTGTGCTTTTCCTGGGCCCTGTATCCTGTATCCTGTATCCTGTTCCTGCTCCCTGTTCCTGTTCCTGTCTGATTCGTTGCTGACCCTGCTCTGATCCCTGGCTTTGTCTGACCATTCTCCTGCTCCTGATCCCTGGCTTGTCTGACCATCCCTCTGCCTGACCCTCTGTACCACGCTGCCCGCTACCTGCTGAACCTGGCTTGTGACTCCGACTATTCTCCGCTTGCTCCCCCTGTACCTACCTGCCCGATTGATATTGACCCGGCCTGCCTGACGACGACGCTTGCATTGTATGTACTGTTATCTGTGGGTGGTTGGTTTGGTTTGTTTGCACTGTGTTATGTTTTAGTATTGCACTGCGTTTATGTTTGTATTGTTAGTGTTAATAAATTGTTTATAACTTATCTGAAGTCTGCATTTCCCTGCGTCAGTCACACACCTCTGGTCACACCCGGGAGCCCTGACATTACACCAAGGCCAATCCTGACCAGAAGTGGCTGCACAGGGAAGCCATCTTGGTTTGTTGATGGGAAGGATGGATCTTGATGAGGTTGTGTATTTATATCTGCTAGTGTTTGATGACAGAGAGTATGCTTATCAAACTCTGAAGGAGTATCCCCGGGATCAACTGCTAGAATGTATACGGCTCGCTCATGTTCTAGTAGATCAGGGCACAGAATTCTCTGAGGTGCAGCCATTGATTCAGATTTGTGCGGAGTTGGTTTCATCTGGTACCCCTGAATGCAGGGATGAATTTTTGCCGCCATTTAGTGCAGACCAGGTAGAGTCCCTGGTATGGTTATTAGAGGATGATGTGGATTGCTTCTTGGAGCATTATGCTGCATGTTCACCACAGGTACTAAGAGATTGTATAAACGCAGTGCATTCATTGACCAGACAGGTTTTGTGTAAGCTCAGCTTTGTTCAACCCCTACTGCAGACATGGACAGATTTGTTGCACCCAGCCTCAGTCAGCTTACAAAAACCCATTCCTGCTTCTAATCTATTTCCTCAAAGCTCTATTCCTGCATTCCCAACAGCTCCTCCTGCCCTGCTATCTACCGCATGTCAGTACCCTGTTCCCACTCGCTGCACCTATCCTGCCTTTAACCCTGTAAAAAAGCCCTCTGTAGCAACTGTTCCCTCCCCTGTTCCATCCTCCAGCTCTTCTCTGTCTCCAGCTGCTCCATTCGTTTGCAGACCTGCGTTTACTTGCAGTGCTCCAGTAGTTAAAACCAGAAAAAAGCGAAAATTCTTTCCAACCAATACCATCCTGCCAGTATCCAAACCGGTGAGCCTGCCGTCTGAGAACCTGCCTTCCGTGGGTCAGCCTGAAGCCTCTACTCAGCCTGAAGCCTCTACTCAGCCTGAAGCCTCTCTTCAGCCTGATGCCTCTACTCAGCCTGAAGCCTCTACTCAGCCTGAAGCCTCTACTCAGCCCTGATGCCTGATGCCTCTATTCAGCCTGATGCCTCTATTCAGCCTGATGCCTCTATCAGCCTGATGCCTCTACTCAGCCTGAAGCCTCTACTCAGCCTGATGCCTCTCTTCAGCCTGATGCCTCTACTCAGCCGGATGCCTCTACCCAGCATAATGAACTGATCCAGCCTGATGATCCTATTAGGCCAGTTGACTCGATGCCCGCTGTTGATCCAGATGATCCGGTACCTGATCCGGTGTCCGCTGTCGTGCCAATTGACTCAGAGCCCGCTGTCGTACCTGGTGACTCGGTGCCCACTGTCTTGCCAGACGACTCGGTGCCCGCAGTCTTGCCAGACGACTCGGTGCCCGCAGTCTTGCCAGACGACTCGATGCCCGCAGTCTTGCCAGACGACTCGGTGCCCGCTGTTCCGCCAGTTGACTCGATGCCCGCTGTTCCGCCAGTTGACTCGGTGCCCGCAGTCTTGCCAGACGACTCGGTGCCCGCAGTCTTGCCGACGACTCGGTGCCCGCAGTCTTGCCAGACGACTCGGTGCCCGCTGTTCCGCCAGTTGACTCGATGCCCGCTGTTCCGCCAGTTGACTCGGTGCCCGCAGTCTTGCCAGACGACTCGGTGCCCGCAGTCTTGCCAGACGACTCGGTGCCCGCTGTTCCGCCAGTTGACTCGATGCCCGCAGTCTTGCCAGACGACTCGGTGCCCGCAGTCTTGCCAGACGACTCGGTGCCCGCAGTCTTGCCAGACGACTCGGTGCCCTCAGTCTTGCCAGACGACTCGGTGCCTGCTGTTCCGCCAGTTGACTCGGTGCCCGCAGTCTTGCCAGTTGACTCGGAGCCCACTGTCGTGCCTGGTGACTCGGTGCCCGCCGCTCCGCCTGGGGGCCCGAGACCTGTCGCTCCGCCTGGGGGTCCGGCGCCCCGCCGCTCCGCCTGGGGGCCTGAGACCTGTTGCTCCGCCTGGGGGTCCGGCGCCCGCCGCTCCGCCCGGGGGTCCGTCACCCGCCGCTCCGCCTGGGGGCCTGAGACCTGTCGCTCCGTTTGGATGCCCGGCGCCTGCCACCCCGCCGGGGGGCCCGATGCCTGTCGCCCCGCCCTGGGGGCCCGGTGCCTGTCGCCCCACCCGGGGGCCCGGTGCCTGCCACTCCGCCCGGTGGCCCGGTGCCTGCAACTCCGCTCGGTGGCCCGGTGCCTGCTGCTCCGCCCGGTGGCCCGGTGCCTGCTGCTCCGCCTGGTGGCCCGCTGCCTGCTGCTTCGCCTGGTAATCCGATGTGCCTCTGCCCGGAGTCCAGCCCGATGTGCCTCTGCCCGGAGTCCAGCCTGATGTGCCTCTGCCCGGAGTCCAGCCCGATGTGCCTCTGCCCGGAGTCCAGCCCGATGTGCCTCTGCCCGGAGTCCAGCCCGATGTGCCTCTGCCCGGAGTCCAGCCCGATGTGCCTCTGCCCGGAGTCCAGCCCGATGTGCCTCTGCCCGGAGTGCCTCTGCCCGGTGTGCCGCTGCCCGGAGTGCCTCTGCCCGGAGTCCAGCCCGATGTGCCTCTGCCCGGTGTGCCTCTGCCCGGTGTGCCTCTGCCCGGTGTGGCCCTGCCCGATGTGCCGCCCGCTGCCCGGAGTCCTGCCCGGTGTGCCGCTGCCCGGAGTCCTGCCCGGTGTGCCAGTCTTTGATATCCCGCCAGTTACCAGACCCGGGCGGTGGAACATTTTGCCCAGCTAGGACTGTTTGGAGCGTCCTGAGGCCGCTCCTTGAGGGGGGGTACTGTCAGGAATGGACTGGCCAGCAATAGTGGGACTCACCTGCCTTATGAGCTGCAGTACCAGGGCTGGCCAGCGGGTGCTCCCAGCAATCAGAGACTCAACCTTGCAGCCAGTTAAACACCTGGAACTAATTATACTGGTGTATTTAAGGGATGGCCAGACCTGCAGACTCTGCCTTGGTGTGTGCTTTTCCTGGGCCCTGTATCCTGTATCCTGTTCCTGCTCCCTGTTCCTGTTCCTGTCTGATTCGTTGCTGACCCTGCTCTGATCCCTGGCTTTGTCTGACCATTCTCCTGCTCCTGATCCCTGGCTTGTCTGACCATCCCTCTGCCTGACCCTCTGTACCACGCTGCCCGCTACCTGCTGAACCTGGCTTGTGACTCCGACCATTCTCCGCTTGCTCCCCCTGTACCTACCTGCCCGATTGATATTGACCCGGCCTGCCTGACGACGCTTGCATTGTATGTACTGTTATCTGTGGGTGGTTGGTTTGGTTTGTTTGCACTGTGTTATGTTTTAGTATTGCACTGCGTTTATGTTTGTATTGTTAGTGTTAATAAATTGTTTATAACTTATCTGAAGTCTGCGTTTCCCTGCGTCAGTCACACACCTCTGGTCACACCCGGGAGCCCTGACACTGCCTATCAGTCATGCCCCTCTCAAACATTGGACTTATTTGTAGAGGTCATCTTGCCCCGTGGCAAAGGAATCTCACACACACTGCTCTGCTGATCTTGAATACCTGATTATTAAGTGCAGACCCTTTTACTTACCACGTGAGGTCACATGCGTTGTTGTGATTGCAGTGTATGTCAGTCCAGATGCTAAGGCTAGCACAGCCATGGAAGACCTTAGCTTTGCTATCAATAAAATGCAGATAACGCATCTAGATGGAGCCTTTATTATTGCTGGGGATTTTAATCACTGCAATCTAAGATCTGTTTTGCCAAGGTTCCAACAGAATGTGTCCTGTTTCTCTAGGAGACAAAAACCCTCAATCATGTATATACAAATGTGGCCCATGCTTACAGAGTTACACCCTTTCCTCACCTTGGACAATCAGATCATCTTTCATTGTTCCTGTTGCCTAAGTACTCTCCAGTTATGTGTGAAACCCACAGTTAGGACTGTTAAAATCTGGCTGGCCTGGGCTAAGGTGGCTCTCCAGCAGAAGTTCACACATACTGATTGGAGGAAATTTGCTACACAGGTCACCATTGATTCAGTCACCAATATCAACACCTATACCAACTTTGTTCTTAATTACATCAATAGGTGTGTGGATAAGATGACTACACAAAAGAACATTATGGTGTTTCCCAATCAGAAGCCCTGGATGAACCGGGAGTTTTGTCTCCTGCTCAAAGA